AACAAAATGATGGTAGTATCTGACAAGCCTTAGAAAATTGCATAGTTCGAACATGTCCCGTGGTGGTTCCCTCTCAATTAGAGTTTGAATCTTCTTAAGGTCAACTCAAATACCCTCGGCGGCTACTACGTGACCCAGAAATGATACCTCTAAAAGTCAAAACTCTCACTTAGTAAATAGTTTATACTCAATCAAGTTCTTAAGCACAATATGGAAGTAACGGTCGCGGTCTTCCTTGGAATGTGAGTAAACCAAAATGTCATCGATGAACACTATAACAAACTGATCTAGATACTGGTGGAAGATTTTATTCATCAAATCCATGAACATGACTAGTCTATTGGTGAGTCTGAAATGTATTACTAGAAACTCATAGTGATCATACCTAGTCCTAAAAGCAATCTTTTCTATGACGTCTTTCTTAACTTTTAGCTCGTAGTACCCCTGTAACTCTCTGAATCCTGAGTTAGGAGTTTTGGGCTAACCTGAGATGAGCCTTGGATTTATTCTTAGCTTGGAGGAAGCTTGATGCAAATTGTTTTAGATTTGGGCTTGAGTTGAGCCTAACAAGGGATAAAAATGGCATTTTTAGCTTTAAGCTAAAATCAGGAGGACCAAGAGTGTAATTAGACTATAGTTTAAAATTAAAGCTGAAAATATTTTAAGGGAGATGATATCACGTATGGTAAACTCTCATCCCCTCCTTACCACCTCTTGTTTTCTTATCTTCTTTCTCCCTCATCTCTTTTCTTCAACCAAGCTTAAAAGGTGCAAACTTTATAGAATCTCAGGCCCCATTCAACAACCTAAAGGTAAGAAACTTAAACTACTCGTTTCAAGCTTCAAATCAAGACCTCTTTTGAAAAGTTTGGCCATTGACCTTTTCAACATGTAAGAAGCTCAGGTAACTCACTTCTAACTCAACTTTATCATGTGTAAGTCATTTAGATGAAATGTAGTAGGTTGTATAAGCTTGAAGCATTTCCATGGTAGATGCATGATTTGGGTGTTTCAATATGTTTTCAGACCTATTTATGATCCCTAATATCATATAAAACACTTAAACATCAGTTGGGGACCTTACTAGGGGTTTTGGGGTAGAAAGTTAGGATCTTTCGAGCCAAAACAGAGCATTTCGTAGCATGGGTATCGATACTATATGAGCAATATTGATAATATTCTTCAGTCATGCTTAAAATTGGGCAATTTTAAAAGGGGAGTATCAATACTCATTCTTAGAGTATTGATACTGGCTGAATGATATCGATACCAAGGTAAAGGTATCAATACTCCCCTTGGGGTATCGATACCAGATTATTTTTCAGAAATATCGCACCTAAATTTGGTATCGGTACTCAGTCTGGTATCGATACCCAAAGCCAAAGTTTTGATATTCCTCTAGGAGTATTGATACTATCTTATTCAAATAACCTAATCATTCAGTAGGGTATCGATACCAGCATGCGAGTATCGATACCAATGGTTTAGTATCGATATTAATGAACCAATATCAATACTAACAGATAATTTTAGATAAATAATTCAAGGGATATTAGATCAGACCTGAAGTACCCTAAACACACTCAAATAATATCAAATAATACTCCAAGCGATAACAGTAAATAATATTATAATAGTAAAATAGTGACAACTAGTTTAACATAAAACTAGCCTTGTTTCATACTTGGGAAACAACCAGGACACTCGAGTTCCTTCTGACAGAATATGATAGTCAGTGCATCCAACTTAGTTTCATGCACTTCAGTAGTCAACTGGGTGTAGATGCCTCAAGATTCGACAGAGTAAGTTGATGGGTGTATATTTCCGATGCAGAATTCCAGATCTCACCTTAGGTGTGCCCGAGGGTACACCGACAGTGCTAGAGGGGTACGTGAGCTTTGAGATATAGAATCTCTCAGCCGCACCATGATGCCAGCCACAGATTAGTAATTGTATGCTCAGACCTATTCCACTTACAATTTCATTTAGTGAATGCATATAGTATAGTATAGTTTTTAGTGAGGCACTGAGCTAGTAAGCTCAGCATTCGAAATGTGTTTCCATGTGCAGGTTCTTAGGGGCAGTTCGTGGGGAGTTATCGTCACTAGATATTCCAGTACAGTAGACCAGATTTTCAAAGACTTTTAGAGTACGTCTTGAGTCATCTTTAGAGGGCATGTACTATAAATGAACTCTTATGTGTATTCAGTTGTAACTCTGATTTGTATTCGGTACTTTATTATTTTAAGATATAATTTGGGAGCTCCCCATCATTTTGTAAACCCAAATTTTTTTGTTTTATTTTTATTACTATAGATGGTTTATTTTCAGTGATTATAAACAATTTTTAAAGAAAACTTTTGGGTTACTATTTCAGTAGTCCCGTGTAACATTGTTATCCATAGATCTTCGGGTCAAATTGGATCAGGGTGTTACAAAGTCGATCTCAAGCCAATTTTAGATCACTACTAGAAAAAACCCCTTTAATGATGCGCATTGCACGTCATCTATGGGTGAGGATGACACACAAATGCCTGTCGTTAAAGCCACCGACATGAATTTTAGATGACGCTCAATTGTGTATCATAAATCTATGACGCGCATTGATGACACGCATTTATGACTCACATTTATGACGCGCATTGAGCGTCATTGAAGCCTTCATCATAAATAAAGATGACACACATTTGTGTGTCATAAATTTATGATACGCATGTATGACTCACATTGTGTGTCATTGAAGCACACGTCATTAAAAAAGATGACACACATCTGTGTGTCGTGATTGTATTTCGTAAATTATATATATATATATTGTATATTGACAAATAATCAAACTAAATCACATTTAATGCCTCATAATACTTAATATATATATATATATCATATTATATATAAACAATCAATTTGTATACAATATATTCATATTAAGTTATCAAAAATATTGTAATCATATGTACTATCTATGCTGCACAAAGAAGAATTGAAACCAAAGCCTATGAATTCAACAATATAGTCCTAGTTCACATAGAGTGATTTCGTTGGATGTAATCAAATAATGCATTTTTTTTCCACATACTTAGAGCTTTGAGCATCTGGATAAAAGCCACAGATATGTGCAAATAGGTAGTGTTGCCAAACCTGTATTGACAACATCAAAAAAAATGAGGATGCTTAAAATATGCAAAAACAATATCAACAAAAGGTAAGCAAAATAAAACAAAGATGTCAAAATTTTGCACAGCCAGTACATAATAAGCTCCACATCGTATAAGCAATTTGCAGCCTATAGCATAAACCTTTTGGCAACTCAACAGTTTAAATGCATTTAAAATTTAATTTTCATTAAAAGTATACAAAAAACAAATTAGTGCTGTCAGAACCAGTTTCAGGGCAAGGTATTAAGATATGAAAACACGGAGCAAGACAAATGACATTAATTCAAAAAATTAGGATCCTGCTTAATTAAGAAACTTCATTATACAGAGAAGGCAACTTGACCACTCCGCCCCCAAAAATAATTAGAATAATTTATTACCCTTGTTTTCAGTTGAACTTGGTTCAACTTTTGAAATCTAGTTTTTGATTTTTCAAAGGGAACCAGCCTGAGATAAATTATTCAGGAGAAAATGTTTCCTATTTTCTTCTCCTAATCATCTAATGTTAAAAGGGAATCTGTTGTTTTCAAATCTGAACTGCTCTTCATAGGATGATGTCTTCTCTTCTATTATACTTTGTTGGATTCAAGATAAGAAGCTTATCTTAACTAATATCATGACAAGTTTTGCATTTTTTCCTCCCATTTTGTTCTAATATATGTACTTTCTTCTTCTTGTATAGGTAAAACAGGTTGATGAACTTGAAAATATCCTAGCTAAAAAGTTTCTTAAGTTTTTGTCAATGAGGGCAGAAGCATTTCAAGTTTTGAGAAGAAAATCAGTACAAGTACATAATAGTCGGCACTTGATTTGTCTTCTAAATTATGTTGCTTGACAACTTGATGTGATTAAACAACTAACTTGCCTTGAGGAATGATTATGTGTACACCATTTTTGCAAAAGTAATCATGACAATCACTATATTTTGCCACTTGTGGGTGAAGACTTTTAATTCTTTCCTTTTAATACACACTAACCTCTTAAACCTGTTTAGCATAGGTGTCTCTTTACGTCTTGATTATTTTACTATATATCCGTTTCATCTCTGAAATTTGACTACATATGGCTCTTAAATTTTGATTTCATTCATGAACTAAGGCTGCCTAATGTATAACTTGATTTCCCTTTTTATCTCCACTTACCAGCAAAGGGAGATATCATGAGACTCATTTTATTGTTTCTAAAATTTAACATAACAAAATGGATTCTCTAAATTCACCTTACTCGTTTTATGTTAGGGTAAAAAGAACTACAGCTAATATAATTAAGGTCTGAAAGTAAAATCTCGTCAAAGCAAAATGGTACGCGTTCATGGAAATGCCATCATTTGGTAACATCTAAAAGTGAAAAAAGATGATAGCCCATAAAGACGATAAGGTATTTCATGAAACATCAATTCAACGGGCAATCTTCATACCTGAGCTCCTGCAAAGTCAATCTTGTTTCCCTTCTCCAAGAGATCATCAACCGCTTGTTCCATTTCAAAAGTGATGAACCCAAAACCACGGGAACGATTGGTGGCATGATCCCGCAAGATTGCGTGTTCTCTGACTTCTCCATATTGTGTAAAGTAGTCCTGGACTCATCTGTCAATTTGCACCAAATAGATTAACATTTATGAGAAATATCTATGATAAATCAAGGCATTCCGGATAAATGGCGTGAAGCTTCAATATTATATGCATTAAAGAAATGAAGATACTGGTATCACCTTCGGATACAGTTGAAGGAGTTCCACCTACAAAAATCTTCCTAGTCTTGAAATCTTTACTTCCAGAAGCTTCTTTTGGTATTGTTCTCTTAATGTCTACCTAAAAGGATAAAAACTGAGCCAAAGAGTAGTAATTCAAGTCAAAAGTGAAGCAACATACATCGGACTATGGTAAGGAAACATAACAATAAACAAAACATTAAGACTAAAGCGGAGTCTTACTTGATTCCCATTAATAACATGAGTGTCCTCAATGACTTTATCAACCACAGAAGGTTCTACATAAGTCACAAACCCGAATCCACAAGGATGTCCTATTTTCCGGTCCTTCATTATCACAGAATCCGTAATTTCACCATATTTACCAAAATGCTCAAGAAATTGTATTGCAGAAGATATGTAAAATAACCAAATATGAACAGACTATAGGGGAAAGCAATTCATGCTATAATCATATTCAATGAGATTAATAAAAATCTCCAACAAACAAGCTAAAGAACTAACCCAAACTTGTCTCTCTCGCTAAACCTCCTACAAATATTTTGTGGTAAATTTCCAAATATCGAATATATTCACAAATCACTTCCAAAGTATTCATGATAAAAGGGGTCTTTCAAAGAAACAGATACCTCTAAACATATCAATATAATCCTACATAAGTCTAAAGAAAAAGAGAAAAGAAGAACCCTAATTCTTCCTCTTTCCTTTTTATTTTAAAATGACATAAATTCCAAACTTATAACAAAAAAATGAAAATAAAAAATGGGTATTACCATTTCACTTAAATTTGCGAATAATTTCAAAGTCATTAACTAAAAGGTAAAGGAAAAAGGCTCAAATTTTCTCATTACTTTTTCTATAATTCTCTCAGGAAACAGAGTAAATCTAAAGGAACATATACATATGTGTATACAAATAACGATTCAATTTACGTTTTTCACGTGTAATTAAGCAATGGGTAATCGATAATTTTAGGATTTTCCTCGACACCCCCAAATTTTCTCAAGAAACAAACAGAAGAAAGGGGAATATATTTACCCAGGACTGGCGCCATCGCCGGTGTGAGGAGTAGACTTGTCGTCTTCAGGATAGTCGGAGGATCTAAAATGGTTGGTTTCTGCATCAAGAAGGGGTTCACCGCCTCGAGGGTCCATCGGCATAGTGGGAAAAGAAGGAAATAAAGCGTAACCCAAAAATGTGTTTCCAAAGATTTTAAAAGCATTTAAAGAGAGAAAGCATACGTACATGATGAAAATAATGGCGAAATTAAAAGACGACTTTTACATATGACACACAATTAAAAGTGTACTCCGTGTTTTTGAATTTTTTTGGATTATGACTATTAAATATGATACACATTATTGTAAGTCGTAAATCGTTCAGATTTTAAAAGAGAGAAAGCATGCGTACATGATGAAAATAATGGCGAAATTAAAAGATGACTTTTACATATGACACATAATTAAAAGTGTACTCCGTGTTTTTGAATTTTTTTTTGGATTATGACTATTAAATATGATACACATTATTATAAGTCGTAAATCGTTCAGATTTTAAGAAACATTACATTTTTGTATGACACACATTTTTTACAAGTTATAAATTAGCGTGTGTCATCGTTCGTGTGTCATTAAAGGTATATTTTCTTGTAGTGGATAACACCCTAATTCCCTTAATATGGTTAAATAAGTCGTCAATTCTCATAAGCAAATATTGATTCTTTACAATTAACTTATTCAATTAATGGTAGTCAATGCACAACTTCATCGATCTGCCTTTCTTTTTACAACTAAAACTGGTGCTCCCCACAATGAGATGCTCGGTCAAATGAACCATCTTCTAGGAATTATTAAATTTGAGCCTTAAGTTCCTTTAGCTCCGTCGGTGCCATACGATAGGGAGCGATGGACACTAGATCGAACCTGGCATTACCTCGATGCCAAATTCTAGTTTTCTATTAAATGGTAATCCCAACAACTCCTATAGAAATATATCGAGAAAGTCCCTTACTATGCAAATCTCCTCTAGCATCAGACTCAAAGCACGAGTATCCACCACGTGAGCCAATAATACCTCACAACCCATGTTTATCAACTTGTGAGCCTCTAAGGGTAAAACAATCCTTGAGGTATAACTGAGTTTCTCACTCTCAATCATGATTTTAGTGACTTCTTCCTTACGAAGTTTTAAATGTCTATCTTTATACTTCAGACTCACATTGTGCTCAGATAACCAATTTATTCCTAGGATTACGTCAAACTCTTATAATTGTAGCTCTATCAGATCAACTAGAAAGGTTTTCCCTCATATATATATCAGACACCTACGGTGGACCTCGTCCACTATCACATCTCAGACTTTAACTTCTAAGTTCTCAGCGGGACACCTCTCTTTATTGGATAAGATCACAGTAAATATAGGATTAGGTTGACCCTAGATTTACCAAAGTAGTAACATACATACAAAAAATTATAATGATACTTGAGATGATATCAACAGTATCACCGTCCTCCTCAGCTCGGACTACATACTGGCGAGAGGCAACCCTAGCCTCAAAATGAACTACGAATTTGGCGGTACCTCTACCCTACTGTCCGAAAGCTAAATTACTTCCACTCTAGAATAATCCTATAGTATAGGTTAATCTCTGAACAGTCAATAATGCTAAGCTCCCAATGTCATGATAATCCATGATGAGGTGCTTGAGGGAACCACATCTATAGTATGCTCGAAAAACTTGATAGCACTCCCTTAAGTGCCTCTTACCATAATGTCTATATGTTAGGAACTGCATAGTACTCATTGAACTACCCGTGCTCTCCATAGATAAAACTAGTAGTATCAAACGACCCTCTGATCTTTGTCTATGGGTTAAACCCTAACCCAACCTCTAAGATTAAAAAATAAAGACCTCCATAACCCTTGGAGTCTTTGGCCCTCTTGGCTGAAGTTTAGAAAGATTCGAAAGAGTTAGGGGATTGGTGGCTCTGGCCTACTATACTACTCGATAGTCACCTTGTTCTAGCGAGTCAACTCAGAGAAGGTTCTAAGTAGGTCGGCAGCTAGGTTGGTGAGGATATCTATCTAGAGACCCTCTTTGAACCTCATAAAACAATGTTTTTTGGTAACAACTAACTCCGGTGCATAGCGACTCAAGCGCAAAAACTCATTATTGTACTCATACACGGAGCGATCACCCTGGGTCAAATATAAGAATCGATATTTTCATATCATCTGTGTGGGCCTCATCGATGTACTTCACCCTAAACGCTAATAGAAAAGTCTCATATGTTCATTCTGGCTCTAGTTCCATCTTCATTATCTCCTACAAGTCAATGGCATCACCCTTCAACAGGGCGATGATGTATTCTAACTTACCCTTAGGGGTAATATACAGCTGTGGCAAGGTTTAAAGGGTCTTATGGAGCCACTGATCGGTAACCATGAGTTATTTGTCTCTAGAACCAAGGAAATTAGTGGTCTTGTAGTGGATAAGTCTATCGACGGAGGACTCCTGAGGGGATACTAGGGGTGGAACAAGTGAGGCGGGTGCAGCAGTGGCTCTAGGAATATCTCTAACAATATGTCTCAGCGCCTACATGAGGTCTCTAAAGAACGTCGCCTCTTCTATGCTCGTATTCCTCAGGATGCCTAAATCCTTAGAGTCAAGAACAAACGCATCTTCTGCGTCTCTAGCTAGAGAGGCACGAATCTCCTCATGGTCCTCCTGACTATGATCAAGATCATCAGTCATAACATATAAGTTTTCAAGAAAAGAAAAGAGTTAACATCTATATTTCTAGACATTTAAGTACGTTTGACACTCTAAAGGCATGTACTTCATTGACACCTAACGACTAAATATAATACCCTAATCCGATCTGACCCAAAATTTTGAGGATTAGAATATTGCACGGAACCAACTAAATGGCTAACCATTTTTTTGAAATCATTTAGCATATCCATACATTCAAATCATGATAAAATACTAAGTATTTATGTTTAAAAAATATGAGGGAGCTCTCAATGTCGACACTGTTTTTTTGTCCGGGTGGGGAAAATTGGTACGACTTGGTGTTTTCTTTAAAAATATTTGTGAAATGTTAGGAGTCGCCACCAATCTTTTTAAGGTGCGATTGAAATGCAAAAAAAAAAACGGGTAATTTTAATAAACCATTTTATTTTATCAAAAATACCAAATTTTATCTGCGAAAACCAAAAATCGGATTTGGGAGTCAGTTACACATAAGGAATGATTAACACCCCCCACACTGCCCAAAATTGGTACCTCTGACGATTACCCTATATTTAAAAGTTGAAAATTTTGAGTTCAAGGTTTTATTTAATTTGAAATTCATTATGTATGCAAGGTTTTTGAAAAGGATGTCGATTCACTTCGGGAATTACCAGTGGTCACCCCCTAAGCATAATACATAGGAAACACTATTAACTCATTGGTAAATGAACATTGCCTTGTTTTGAAGACATGATGCAAGCACACAATCAATTATTTAATCATGGTTATACTAAGGGTTAATTAAGGCTTTTTCTAACTTAAGGTGTCAAATTATAAAATTTAAAGAACCTAGATACTAACCCTAAAAATAAAGGCTTTAATATTAATCCTAATTAATTTTGTCAAATAAATGTCAAAAACGTTTGAGGAGTAAAGTGTGAAAAGTCTAAGGTTAAGGCTCTAATTATTAAACCCTAATTAATTCTCATTTTATTGAATCGAAGAATCGAAATGAGCTCTCAAGCATCTAAATGTGAGAGCCAAATCAAATTATTCCCTAAATTAAAGACTACATGTGAGAAGTCTAAATATGAGGTTTAAATCTAAAATCTAAGTGTCTAATTACAAAGTAAACTAAAGGAACATAAAACTAAAAGATTAATCCAAAAACATAAAACAAACATGCATTTAGAAAATAGAAATAAAAAACTAAAACTATACAAAATTAATTTAAAAGATTAACTACTTATTGACAAATTACCAAATAAATTTATAACACAAAATTAATATAAGGTTAATTTAACAATAAATTAATTCAAGGACTAAACTGAAACACACAAAATAGTTTAGGGACCATATCTTAATAAGGCATACAAATCAGCATAGTGACCAAATTAAAACCAATCAAAATTAAGCATAAAAAATTAGGATTATGATAGTGACCTAAATGTAAATACACGCTGAAACTAGAGGGATTAAATCATGATTGTCCATTTTTATAAGCCTAAAATGCACAAACAAATAAAAAGAGAAAATTACAAGTTCGGGCCAACAAGATTAAAATACAATCAAAACAGTTATAGCAGGTGACTAAAATGCAAAAACACAGCAACTTTTAGAGGACCTAAGCGTAAATAACCCATTAACTCATATTATAAAACACACTCTTTTTGTTTGAACTCATTTTCAACCTTAAACCTAAAAAAATTCAAAACTCTCTCAACTCTCATTCTCTCTTCCTAGCCGGCAACCTCACCAAAACCCAACACCACCGCGTTGATTACCATGATGACTGAAGTTCTTAAAAAATACCCGAATAATCCTATATGCCCTAATTTATTCACCTAAACCCAAATTGATACCTAAAACGATCACTAAATCTACATACAAGACCCCAAAAGCTCTATAACTCTTCATTTCTTAACTTCGAATACACCAACGACGCTCCCTATTCCCGGTGACAAGACCCTCAAGCGAAAAAGGTAGAAAATAAAGCCTCACTCCTTGCCTTTTATTTATTTTCGAGAAAGAAAATAAAGAATAAAAATTGAAATATAGGATTAAAGAGGAAACCTTGTAAAATCTTTGCTTTGTATTGTTTTTTTTTTTTGTAAAATATTCGGGAAGAAGCTAGATGCCTTTTACATATTTGAATGGACTTTTTATAAAGCCATTTTTTCTAATTTTTTTACAACCCAAAAAAATCTAATCCTACTTACTTTCTGACATTGCTCATATACATGGTTGATGAGCTCGTACGAACGACAAAGGGAGGAGCATGATTGCCTTGCTCGGTTAGTGAGGCATTAAATGCCTTAGATTTGTTGAGATTTGATCTGGCTTGGCTTGGTGGCTCTGAAAATCAGC